TGGATCTCTATGAGTTCAAGGCCAGCTTGGTCTACATAGTGAGTCCCAGGACAGCTGGGGCTACAGGGAGACCCTGTCTCAAAAACACCAAAAAAATTTTTTTTAAGTTAAAAAACAAACAAAAAAAAACCTCCCTGAAATAAGAAGTTTGAGAAAACCCTTAAGGATAAACTGGACAGGTGGACAGAGGTAGGGTAGAGGAAACAACTTCTGTTAAGGCCTGAATAGGAGAGATCCATGAATTATTGGATGAAATAAATGGAGACGGGGAAAAAGGAAATATAGATAAAAGCAGGATAATAAATGGCATTAGAGAAAAGTGGAGGTAGGAGGATTAAAATTTCATCAGACCTGTTGTTAAGAAGTCAGGAGTTATTCTAAATAAAATAGGAAGCCATTTCCAAATATCTATACTAGGAACTACCAAAACTGGGTTTGTATTTGGGGCATTCATTCAAACTCCATTGCAACAAACAGATACTCTGGAAGGATCCAGGCCCCTTCTTTATGATCAGTGCACCAATCCCAAGATTCCAGGAATATTGTCTGCTGAAAGCTCACTGCCAGGTCCCTCAATAGGAGTTGTATCCTCTTCTGGAATGTACCTATAGCCATAATATGACAATGTGTGGAGATGAAACAGCCTTCCCCTTCCCCTCTTATCTCAGTCAAAGACAACTCAAGCTCCTGTGCTGGGTGAAGACCAATGTCTCCTCTCCTCTCTTGTAATTATGTTGCTGGTTACTTCTCTCTTTACTTAACCCTACTCGATTAATTACCTATTTCTACATAGCACATTACTACAATGGCTTAAAACAATACACGTTTATCATCTCACTGTGTCCATGGTTAGTTAGGAGTCCAGGCACAGTGTACATGATCCTCTGATGAGTCTACAAATAATTGAACAATTACATTTGTGTTAGGACATATAGATGAAGGAAAGAAATCTCAACCCACATGAGTTTCTTCTCCTTGAATGGGCTTTAAACCCTATTAAGTAGCTGTTGATTTCCTCCAAGATAAAAATACCACTACTGTTCCAATATAGTTTGCTGTACCAGTCGTTGTTATTATTGGGCCTTAAAGCTAGGGTTGGACCATTGATTGATGGTCTCCCTTAGCCACTTGCATAATGCTCTCCAAAACTGTAAGAGTTAGTGTTCAGGGAGGTGGCTTCCCAATCAGTTCCAGCTCCATTGTTCCAAATCCTGTGTCTGAAGTATGTCCTATTTTTAGCAGTAGGAACTATAAACATAGCCAAATACACATGCGTGGAGAGGTCATAGATCTTAGAGAAAACCCAAGGATGTCATATCCCTTGACAAATGTAATTTCTTACTATATGCTAAATACGGAACATAATACAGACAAGTATGCCAGTCACCTCTCATCAAAGAAGCTTCTTTTGCAAAAGATGGAGACTATTACAGAGTTCAACAACTGATCATACAAGAAATTGTCTGTAAAATGCCCAATCCCAGGTGATACATCTACAATGGAACCGCTACACCTAAGGCTCATGTAACATAGTAGAACAAGGGGCAGAAAGAATACCAATGCATCTCTCAACTCTCATCAATAAAGGTCACTCACGTAACCGAGGTCCATGAACTCAAAAGGACACAGAAGTCCAAAGCATAGGTAATAAGAGTCTGCAGAGTGTGGGTCCTTGGACAGGTCTCTTATATTAAACTTCATGCATCCAGGGCTCAGAGACCATTGCAGAAGATGATGCGGAAAGATTGTAAGAGTCAGGGGAGGAGGTACATGACCATATGGAAATAGAACCTTACAGGCTCCTGGGACCTTGCTCATATGAACCTACAGCAATGGTGTCAACATGCACAAGACCTAGGCAAATCCAAGCAGACAAAAACCTACCATAGAACAGTGGGAATGGTCAACCGGACCCAATCACAGCTGAAGAACTATTGGCAGCTGATTACTGCTAGGGGAGGAACAGCTGATCTTCTTAAAGGGAGGGACTCTAAATAGGTTGCCTAGATCTTCGTGGAGGAATTTCCACCAACAGACATTTGGAGACACTGAATTGACTCTATAGGCCTTAACATCAATGACAGACTGCATGAAATCCAGTGGGGGAGCTATGGGAGTGTGCCAATGGGGAAGGGGATGCGAAGATGACTAAGATATTCTGTATGAAATACACATAACTTCAATTTAAAAATATCACCCATTTATTGCCAGAATTTATCTCTTGTTGGTTGTTGGCTGGAAGCAACTTGGCAGTGAGCAATTCTTAAACTTTATCACAGTTACTTCTACACGGGCTTTCCCAACATAACCACTTACTGAATCAAGCCAGTATAGAGAATCTCTAGAACAAGTCTACTAATAAGATAGACATATATAATGCACAGTGATTTCAGGAGTACCTTTGATGTGCTATATTCATTAGGAGCAAGTTACACAAGTCTTATGCTCACCCGGGCAGAGGGAATCACATGAAGGTGTGAAGAGCAAGATATGGGTTGAAGGAGAGCAACCTTACAATCTGTCTGCCTTACTTCCATTCCTCACTACTTAAGAGCACTCCCTAATAAACCTTCTGAATACAGTTAGTCATCTTAAAGTCTGTATCCAAGGAGCAACACTGGAAGCAGATCAAGGTAGAGATTCTTGCTACAACTTTAAGTGAAAGCAATGGGAGAAGGACTTTCAAATATTATTTTCATTTATAAATGTATAATCATTGGGACTGGAGAGACGGCTCAGTGATTAAGAACAGTGGCTGCTCTTTCAGAAGACCCAGGTTTGATTCTCAACACCCACATACAACACTGCATATGGATGGCTAACAACCATTCCTAACTCTAGTTCCAGGGGATCCAACACCTTCTTCTAGCCTTTGTGGGCATAGCATGACATGGGTACACTCATATACATATAGGCAAAATACTCACACATATCAAAATAAATAAATCATGGGGGAGGGCTATAAATTTGATTTAAAACTGTTGTATGAAATTACAAAAGTGCAATAGAAAATTTAAAATTAAATATATAAATAAAAAACCATAAATGCATAATCACTAGTATCATTTAGAATTGTGACAGAGGCTATCCAGAAATAAAAACAATTCTATATTGAGAGAAAATGAAATTGCAGTGTTGAAGGGACCTTGCACTTCCATGCTCATTGCAGTACTATTAACACTAGCAATGATATAGAAACATCCAAGTACTTATCAATTGCTGTATGACAAAATGTAATACATACACACAATGGCATATTAAACTATAAAAATGAAATCCTGTCATTTGTGACAACAAAAATAGAATGGGAGAACATTATATAAAGTGAAATAAGCCAGACAACTAAGTCAAGTACCATGTGATGTCACACATAATTGGAATGTAAATAAATTGATCTCACAGAGGTTGGTATAGAGCAGAGGGGAGGTAGCTCAGTGGTATGGCACTCGCCTAGTATATTCAAGGCCCTGGGTTCAATCCCTAGTACCACACAAGAAAAAGAAGTTGAGGAGCTAGAGAGATGGCTCAGTGGTTAAGAACACTGGTTGTTCTTGCAGAAGACCAGGGTTCGAATCCCAGCACCCACATGGCAGCTAACAACTGTCTGTAACTCTAGTTCCAGGAGATCTGACAGCCTCTTCTGTCCTCCACAGGCATTGCACGACACGGGTGCACTTACCTACGTGCAGGCAATATACACATACACATAAAATAAAAATAATAAATAAAATATTAAAAAAAAAGAAAGCCGGGCATGTAGCGCATGTCTTTAATCCCAGCACTTGGGAGGCAGAGGCAGGTGGATCTTTGTGAGTTCAAGGCCAGCCTGGTCTACATACTGAAAAAAAAAAAAGAAGTAGTTGTTGAGGGTAGAATACTTGTTACTACAGTAGCAGGAAGGGAGTGGGAGGAGGAAGACTGAGCAATGTTGGCTGCAATAGTTGGATACAAACAAGAAATTCTGGTATGGGACGGCACAGTAGAGTGACTATAGATAAGGAGAATGTGCTACATATTTCTAAAAGCTAGAATAAAATATATGTTGAATGTTTTCACCATAAATAAATGATAAATATTTGATGAGATGGATGTGCTTAATCTGACTTAAACATTGCGTGGGATCTACAGACATCAAAACATCCTGTTATTTGCTATGTATTTTAATGCACACACTATACATATATACATATATATGTGCATATATATGTATTTCCATGTATATATATTGTCCATACATAAATATATACAATTTGGGCCAGTGAGATTACTCCATAGCTAAGGGTGCTTGCTGCCAACCTGAGTTCGATCCCCTAAAACCCACATGGTAGAAGGAGAGAAAGATTCCTAAAAAGCTATCGTCTTCTGAACTACACACACATATCAGGGCACATGTACATCCACACTCACATATACATCATACACACAAAAGTAAATAAATGTTTAAAGTACCAAAATATACATAATTCCATATTTCAATTTCAATTTAAAACTCATGTGTAAAAACTAATGTGTCTGCAGGCAAGGATGTACACAAATTTTGAAAATACACACATTTCCATTTTCAGGACTGTAGATCAGATTAAACATAATTAATAAAATTAGATTCATCTTCCACAGTGCTAATAAATCTCAGACCACAATCAGTCACTCAGTCAAAAGGAGATGATCAGTACTTTATTCAATTAGCACAGATAGAACTTATACAAATTGTGAATACTCAAAAAATAGATCTGCCTGCCCTATTAGAGACTGATAGTCATAAAATATACAAGCAACTGCTGATATGATAACAGAATAAAATCCCACCCTATCAATCAACACTCCCATTTTGATCCATCCCATGTTTGTTTTTGCTTACTTTAACATATACAGAGTAATATAAGTAATACTTTTTTAAAAATAAAATCAATTATTGCTATGCAAAACTATAACTATTCTTCTGGAAATTTTGTTTTTCCATAGGTCTTCAAAGCATGAAATAT